TATAGGATAGAATATCTAAAAATATGAAATATTCAGAATTACGTTCTTTGCTGTGGCTACTCAAGCAAGTTAATTTCCAGGGATGAATCTAGCTAATGTAAGCCCAAATTAGCTTGGTGTGGCCACAGCAAAATGTATCTTCAGTTGCTCTAATGTGAGTTATCAACTTGGGCTATTATTTTAGTCTTATGTGATTTGCAGGCATCAATACAGGTGTGGTACCAATGTACCTATCAGAGATAGCACCAATACCACTGAGAGGTGCTTTAGGTACTTTGAACCAGTTTGGCATTGTAACTGGTATCTTGGTTGGATTCGTATTTGGACTTAAAGAGGTTTGTAATACTCAAGAAAAGAAGTGCTCTGTTGCTATGTCATGTCTTTGTGAGTTTATGAATAAAACATGAACTCATTCATGTATTCATTCATCCATCCTTTTGTTCATTTATTCAAATATCATTCAGTCACTCTTTTTCTAGCGTCTAATTGAAAATGCAGAACATTCTCGTGCCAATATCCTTCTCACTTTCACAACATAAGGATCTGTGTATGAAAATGAATGCAGACAATCTTTGAGTTTTTCAGTGTTTTGGTTTGATTAATTCAAACTTCGTTTTTTTTTTTTCATTGTGTACAAACTACAATTATATTAGTTATCATTACTTAAAGGGACACTGTCAATGGATGACATGTGCAGTAACAGTGTCACCTCTAACGGACTTTGAAAGTATTACCTTCGAAGTAAATCATTTTGTGGTGCTTTTGACACACTTTGGAATATTCTAGATCTGTTTACGTTTACAAGCTGATTTATGTCGCGCCAACTTGGAGTCATAAACTTGAAAACATTAGGCTAATGTTTTCAAGTTTACTCGCACATGCGTGCCATTGAAAGTGACCCTTTAAATATACTTAATTCTTTTCTTGCATATACCAGTTTTCTTTTGTCTCTGAAGATGTGCTTGGAAGCTTGCACATACATGTATAAGAAGCAAGGTTATGTAGACTCAACTTTCTTTAATAATATATTCTTATCTCTTGGGTAAAGGTCCTAGGAAATTCCAAAGGCTGGCCGTTATTGATCTGTTTCAGCGTCATACCAGCAATTATCCAGTTAGTGACTCTACCATGGTGTCCGTCAAGTCCACGATACTTACTTCTAAGACTGAAYGAAGAGGCAGCAGCGGTCTCTGGTATGTTTAACAGTTGGTGATCATTATATCAGTATAGTGTTGATTTTTGTTCGTGGTTTTTAATGATGTACAAGTCAKAAAAATACAAGGTACATTAGACCTCAAATTTAACAACTGATTGTGTTCAAATTTCTCTTTATTACCAAGCTTTTTTTTAGTGTCAGATATGGTAAAAAATCAAAAACCAAAGGTATCTGCTACAAAAAATTTCATTGTTTTGATTTAGTCAAGAGAAGTATGGCAAAACTGCTGCTCTTAATTGTCAAAACATTTAAGTACCTTTCAAGGCACTTTTTCTTGTTTTTTCATCTTCATTCAACTGGCAACTTGTCTTGCACCAAAAAATTGATAATTGGCGACAAACCAGAAACTGTTATGCTAAAGCTTTGAATATTTTATAATGCTGCAGGACAGGTTGAGGTCTTTTGTATCTTTGTGTTTTTGCACCCTAACCATCAAATAAAATCAGTTGAGGGTGATGAGGATTTCACAACAACAATGGTGATGAAGATGATTTTGATGACAGTCATAGTAAAGGTAATGAAAAATAACGTTTGACTCTTTTACTTCAAAGCTCTTCAAGTACTGCGTGGCACAACAGATGTTTCTGAAGACATTGCAGAAATGAGAGTGAGTATAATACATCCGAACAACTGGTGCTTTGTTGAACATACCCTGGTTCCAGAGGTGTCTGTTCCAGAGGCTGTATTTCAGCTTCATGAAGCAGAAATAAATATAGAGAGATATGGTTAAGGCTCTGGAATGATGGCATTAAGAGCTTAGCTTCTGTTTGTCGTTTCTTTGTTGTTGTTGCTTGTTTGACCATGGATAAACTTTGCAGTGAAACTTATTTCAATGTAATTTTGCTACTAAAAAAGATGAAAAGATAATTTTTCGGATTTATCCTTTTGTATTTTTTGTCATTTAAGGAGGARCAAGAAGCAGCTCTTTTRGAGCAAGACRTACCTATCACACGTCTGTTTACAAGGAATGATCTTCGTACTCCATTATTGATAGCTGTGGTATTACAATGCTCTCAACAGCTKAGTGGCATCAATGCAGTAAGTTTTGACAATTCATGTTGTTTACTATTTGTACCCTGTCTGTCTGTCTTGTCCATCTATGTTCTGTTGTATACTTAGCTTCAGAGCAGTAGCTACTGGAGAGCACATGGTGTACTGTGGTGTACAAGCTATAAGTAAGCCAGAATCAAACTTTTTTGAGGATGATGAACAAATAAGATGATAGTAAAAAATAAATTTTTATAACTTAAAATTTTATTTATAATATCAAAGRGGCAAGATTTGCTGTTACTCCGAGTTTCGTGCTATGCACTTATCAGACAGTAGCCATTAGTATATGATTGACACCTGTCTACATCCRTTCCCACCCCTCACCCCCTGCGGGAAAAATTTGAGGGTTTTTTGGAGGGGTGAGAACAAATGTACACAGTCAGGCTATTCTATTTGTCTTCTTCTACATTTCAGGTATTTTATTATTCTACCTCAACGTTTGAAACTGCTAATGTTCCTGGAAGTCAATATGCTACAGTAGCAGTTGGTATAGTCAGCATTGTAATGACAGGACTTACTGTGAGTAGTAAAATGCCATATTTAATGCTTGTGTAATAGATTGCGTGCTAATAAATAAAGTTTATTTTTCGTAGGTCAAGCTGGTAGAGCAGTTTGGTAGAAGACCTTTAATGCTCCTGGGTTTGGGTGGAATGATTGTATTTTATGTTGTAATGACTATTGCATTTAAATATCAGGTAAAGAAAGGAATAAGAAATGGAAAGATTCTTAAACTGTTGTAGCCATTTCATTATTTAGAGTGGTTTTCATTAATATGTGAAAGAAAGTTTAACATACTATACTATATTTTTTACTCTTAATTTTGTATGTTTTTCTTTGTCTTTTTGGTGTAACACACACCATTATACTTTGACTATTATACTTTGTTTCATGGGCAGGGTTAATGTCAACCACACACTCTATTCATACATTAATTTACATTTAACAGCCACATACTCTAGTGTTCATACATTAATACATTTAACAGCTCATTATAACCTCCATACTCGTCCTTTTTTCCATCCATTCATCTRTTTATTTAATCATCCATTGATTTTTTTCCTGTTCTTATTTCCCATCAATAGAACCTCAAAGCCATGGGATACATTGCAATCGTTGCAACGCTTCTGCTTGTGTCATTCTTCCAATTGGGGCCTGGTAACTAATCTACATCAAGGGGGGTGGGGTGGGGGAATGTACAGTTTTCATTTTGTTTATCTTATTTTACAGGTCCAATACCATGGTTTATTACCGCCGAGTTGTTTACCCAAGGTCCAAGACCCAAAGCATGTGCTGTTGCAGCCACAGTAAACTGGTTTACAAACTTTCTTGTTGGAGTTGGCTTTCCACCCATGCAGGTATCAATTTTGTCTGTCTGTCCATCTGTGCCTCTATCAATTTTGTCTGTCTGTCTGTCCATCTGTGCCTCTATCAATTTTGTCTGTCTGTCCATCTGTGCCTCTATCAATTTTGTCTGTCTGTCTGTCCATCTGTGCCTCTATCAATTTTGTCTGTCTGTCCATCTGTGCCTCTATCAATTTTGTCTGTCTGTCTGTNAAAGCATTTCTATTTAGGAGACAAATCAATAGATTCTTGGTGCAAAAAAATCAGAAATCTCGTATTTGTCCCCAGAAGAAGATGCTTTGATGTGCATCTTGTGCAGGGCTGTCAACTCTACCACATAATCCAGGAAAATTTGAGCTCAAAATTTCAAAATCTCCAGATTTTTCGAAAAATGGCAAAAAAAACTCTCATGTTTTTAAGTATTATATTTACCAAAAATGGGACCTGATTTGTGTATAAATTACCAAGTGAAATTGAAATATCGATGGTCTGCAACCTTTTTTACTTTTTATGTGTGTTTTGTGTGTGTGTGTGTGTCTATTTTTTTGTTTTGGTTTGGTTTGTTTTGTTTTGTTTTTTTGGAGGGGGGGGGATTCCAAAACTCTAAACAATTAAAATGGCAGATTTCTTAGATGTCAAGATGAATTGTTTAGGGTTGGAAGGCATGCACGGAGTATGTAATTTATAGTATTSTTACAATTCTCCAGTGTTGTGAAATCTCTTTAAGACACTCTTTTATAAGCAAACATATGACTGGACACATTATTTCTCTCAAATAGATATTGATGAATGCCTGAACCCCCCTGAACCCTGTGACACTGATGCTACTTGCTCCAATAATGACGGTAGTTACACATGCAAATGYAATGCTGGTTACCATGGAAATGGCAGGAGTTGTAAAAAAAGCAGCAAGCATGGGACGCGTTTCAAAAAAAGCGGTAAGCATCCAAAGATTTTTATCAAGTTGTTTTAATAAAAAAAATGTGTCATTTGTTGAATTAGAATTAATCTGAAATATAAAAGTAAAGCACTTATGRTAGATAAATAACACTTCAATTTTTCATTATATTTCAGCTTTCAGTACAATCAAGTCGTCACCATGGTTAATAATTGTAGCCTTTTTGCCAGTTATGCTTCATTATTTTHAAATATTTTCTTTTGAAACATAGAGTACAAACAAATAATTAAATGTGCGCAACACTTTCCACTATTTACTACAAAATAGAATTAGCATAATTTAGCAGTATTTAGTGGTATTTATGTTGCACAGTTTTAGTGTTTGTACTCTAACTTTTCTCATCAAAAAAGAATATGGATTGTCTGATTATTTATTATTTTTCATATACCGTTTTTTTTAATTTTTTATTTTTTTAAAAAAGTAGAGCATGCACTTCTACGAAGGGGGATTCAATTGAAGACTATAGTTTTTTTTAAACTTTGAGCTGGAATAAAATTGAGCTAATTTAATTAGAGTTACAAAGTATCCAGTATTCTGATTGGTACTGAACGCTTTTTTTAATGCATGGTATTCATGTGATAACATAGTCGCTGAAAGTGATGTGAAAGTAGCCGAGTTTTAAACAATGTTGTGGAAAAGTCAGCTGTATTTTTGTCTTTTTTGTGTGTTTCCTCTGTATTTGATGTAAAAACTTTTTATAAATGTCAGGCATGAATACATTAAGGTTGACTTAGACGGCAAAATGTCTGGTTTACCGTCTGACTTAGACGGCAAAGCGTCTAGTTTACTGTCTGACTTAGACGGCAAAGTGTCTGGTTTGCTGTCTGTGACTTAAAGCGACAATAATGTCTTGTTATGTTATTGACTTACACGGCAATAAAGTCTGCTTAACTGATAGTCTAAGATAGCTAAAATGTCTGGTATATTGATAGCTGTAAGATAGCAGTAATGTCTGGTAAACTGCGATTGAAAAATAGCAATAATGTCGCTGATTTCCTGATTGACTAATTTATTTATGCTTCCGAATATTAGATAGTGATGAGAAAAGCACACAAAGTACTATTGTAAATATTATATATATATATGTAGAAATAGTGTCACTTTATGGTAACGTATTGAAGTTCTTTCAGATGTAAGTGATAATTAAAGGCCCACGTGCCCAATGTGGCAAAGTATATATAAGTATCCTAATTTAGCCACCTCCGACACATTGTACTAATGTCAGACAACAGCAGCCTGCTGCCAAATGACAACAAGAATTTACTGCACAAATATATAATAGAGTGGTTTTCATAAACCCGTGAAACAAAGTGTAATAGTCGCGTAGAGACAATAAAAAACCAAAGAGCCAAAGTGTAATAGCGATAAATACGCTAAAGTGTGTTTCACGGGTTAATGAA